TCTGTAAACTTTACCATCCTGTTTCCGTATTATACGATAAGTTTTTATTAATTATTAGATGTAGTTCATGTGCAATAAATGCCCACAAATTTCAATGGGAATTCAGTCAGAGTTTACAGATCCCACCCAAAATGTATCTAAATTCAAAGGACATTGTTGCGATTGTAGAAGGTAGATGAAATTCGGAGGCTTGCAAGCCTCCGAATTTCAGAGCGCTGCTTGATAGAAAGAAATGCAGGTGTGTAATTTCTGCAGGAAGAAACAGCAGCAAATGTCTCACCAATAGTATTCGCAATTTCTTCTATGGAGCTAATCACTCGGCTATCTTTTTTCAGAAAGAAAAGTGAGTGGTCTTTATATATTCCACAAGCTTTTTTAACTCTTTCCCAAACCCACTTACTAGGCGTAGAGGATGTAATGGATGACACACATGAAATCTAGGAATCCCTCTGGCTCTGCCTACTTACTTTTCGTGCATTTGCTTTGGCTTTTTTAAATGCTATGAGGTTTCCCAGAGTAGGATATCTACGAAAAATTCCCCGTGCTTTTTTTCTGTTTTTTCCGTGCTTCATGACAGTCCCGATTCCACCATGGTTTCGTATATTTTAGTATTTTTCCTGATGTTCTAGGATTTAGCTGCCTCAATAATAGTATTAGTAACAACTTCAACAGTGTCATTGATATGCCCATCTTCTACCATGTACCCTGAGAGCTCTGCAGTAGAAGAGAAGAGTTCCCAGTCTGCTCTATTGAGTATGAACCGAGGGGATCTCGACATGGGGTTTGCTTCTCTTCGTGCAAGAGATACTAAAATAGGATAGCGATCGCTGTTGTAAAGATCATTTCCCACACTAAAAGTGCAAAATGGCAACAGAAACGGTGAACAGATGTCAAGGTCGATAACGTGGAATGTCCTGGAAGGCTCATGGAAGGAAGTATCCTGCCCATTATTTAGGTCTCAAAGGCTATGATCTTCAATCATTCGCTCAATTTTTCTTCCTCTAGAATTTGTGTCTTTAGTTCCCCAGAGCGGACTATGGCCATTAAAATCCCCTATTAAGATAAAAGGGCTCAGGCAGCTGATGTATGAGATCACTTAAATGTGGTTGATCAACGTGCTCATTTGGAGGCAAGTAAAAAGAGAAACGACTGAAACCACAATATGAAAATTTACCCATATAGCGAGAACTTGGAGGGATGTTGCCAAAGGAAGTATATCTGATGGATAGTCAAGTGAGGTGAGGTGACCTCCACCTCCACTAGCACGTTCACATGCAAGACTGTCTTTCCTGACAAACGAAAACCTCCGAAGTTTTGCTTCTTGTTCTGGTTTCAAGTGTGTTTCCTGTATACCCAAAGACACAGGCGATGAGCATTGACTACACTTTTGATGTCAAGAAAATTTTGGTGGAATCAGCAACAGTTCCATGAGACCAGGGTGGGCATTATGATTTATGTTTGTTTTTTCTGTGCTGCTTTTTTGTTTTTCGTGGAAGTAGATGCTCGGGAACATCTAACCCCTCTTCTACTTCCAAACTATCTGAACTTAAAGATTCAGATACCATATCTTCAAATGCATTACAGTCAAAAGTCGTTAATTCGGACACCCATAATTCGGAATGATCTATAATCCGGACCTCAAAGCTAAAAACGACTTTTTCTGCGCATGCGCCGCGTTGACACATCCGCACAGGCATTTACGCGTGCACGTAAGACCTTTTATGACTGCGCATATGAGTGTGCGCAAGCACAGAATACGTTTTCGCGTGAGCGTTTTATGTATAACGGACGGTATAAGCTAAAATTATCTAATTATCGATTTCAGCTAATGTTGATGATTGTGTTGTTCCTTAATTTTCGAATTGGATCCAGTTTATTATTTTTTGCAGACTGTAAGAGCAATACTATAAAAGTAAACTTGAACTTTTGATTATGTCAAATAGAATTTCCGATTTTGGAGCTCCCAAAGGATCGTACAAAACGAAAGTATGTTTCGATGTTCATCAAACGAAAAGTGGAATTGCTGCAAAAAATGGATAAAGACATGAAGAAGGTGACAGGGAGGTTAGTGAAAACGAAAAAATTTCGATTGACAAGTTAGTCGGTATTCTCGGCACAGCAATTAACAGGACTTGAACAGCGGAACTTTGTAACTGAACAAGAAATTATATCTGTTTATAGAATTAAAGAGAAAGTATTATCGCATAAAACGAAGCAACTTACACTGAAAGAAATGTTTAATAAAGTACACAAATAAATATTAAGCTTTTTTTTTTTTTTTTTGTAAATTTTGATACCCTTTAGATCATAATTGTTCTTTATTTTATAAACTACGGTTTCATATTTTTAATTTTATAATTTCTGCATGCCATCTTAACAGATTTAAACTGATGATCTATAATCCGGAAAAATCGATAATCTGGAATCGCTGAAGTCCCGACGAGTCCGGATTAACGACTTTTGACTGTACTACTTTTACAAAACAACGTTCATTTGCTACTGTTACTACTGCTATTAGGAACATTCAGCTTTGGTGTGATTGCTTTGTGTTTTTGCAATATTAATGCCAGTAATTTTCATCTTCAAAATTCTTTGACAATAAGTATTTCATTTTATGATTTCAATATAAACATCAGAACAACACAGAAAAGTCTTGTCTTATTCATTTACATTCCAGTCTTAATGAAATGAAAATGAAACCAAAATGCCGATCTTTCAATACATTTAGCAACATTCATAGCTTTTCCAGGAATATCCGTAAATGAAAGTAAATGCACAGTTCTCAGAAAATTAAATGTGAGTACATCAAAACAAAAACACAATAATATGCTTTTCGACCTTTAATGAAAAATGAGCTAACCAGACTTTTTACAGCATGTGGAGAAAGAACTGATAATACAGTACATCCATTTTCAGTCATTCTTGATTAATTTCCTAAAACCACTAAAATGGACTAAACTGAAATGGCAATAGGCACTTTAGAGAACAGTTAGCTAGTGAAGTCTTGTTATGAAAAAGTGAAAGCAGTAGTATGTTCAGATTTCAAGACGTAAGTCAAAAGAATCTCTATTAATAGCATCAAGAGTGAGGCTGCATCCGCCCAAAATAATACTTTGCCTATGAAGGAACTAAAAAGTAATTGCACATTATGAATTGTTGCCGCCAATCAAAGCAGAAAAAATCCAAATGCCAGTTCCAAAAGCAGAAATCAAAACAAGCACCTACAACTGACCAATCTTGAGTTATTGTCTTTGATCATGACAATACCTGGACCTACATTTTGATGAATGTTGGACAAAGACTTATTGAGTATGATTGGAACTTTTTATATTGTTTCCCCCATATTCATCAGATTTTCATCTTCACAGGTCACTTCAAAATTCTCTGCATAGGAGTTCACTTCTTTGGGGAACATCAAACGGCATCTTGATAACTTCTTTACAAATGATTTTTTTCAAAACATTTTTTCCAGCAGTCAGAGAGATGACAAAAATCATAGAACAAAATGGTGCTTATGTATTTCATTATGTAATTTTCTTATCCTTTATATCGTTTCATTTGTATTTTTCAAAAAACATCAGAACTTCTTGGATGATCCAATATCATACAGGGTGTAACAGAACTGATGTTCACAATTTTAAGGGGCAATAGATTATGGCAAAAGCAATAATTTTCCCAAAACAAAGTGGGGTGGAATGTGAAATATGAACACAGAAATGCAGTACGTATGAAGAGAATGGGAAACAAAAAGTTGTTTTAACCACAATATTTAAAACACCTATTCAAGTAAATGACTATCAACTGTAAGACACGCATCACAATAGTGATGGATCTTGTTTATGAGTCGTATACTGCTGCAGAAATATGCGAGAGATCTCCCACAATTTATGCAAATAAATTTATCATCATTTTGATGCATGCATTGCAAATGGAAGTTTTTCTTTTGAATAAGTAAATATCAAACATTATTTCTTATAAACATGCATGATTATACTGTCTTTTCATTTCCCATATCATCTATTCTTACAACGCTTCTCTTACTTACCTTTCACCACAAAATTTATTATAAAAATTGCAACTATTGCCATGTTTTATAATTATTTGAAGTTGTGAACGTCAATTCTGTTACACCCTGTGACAAACATGCAGCCATTTGCTTCACCTTATAAATTGTGTAAACTATTCATATGCTGAAAAGCTGGATGTTCTTGGCAGAGTACAATTTAAAATTAGGCAAAAAAGAAACTTTTTCAAAAAAGAAAAATTCTCACAGGGCTGCCCAGCTGCTATAGTGGTTAGTGAGCCTGGCTACTGTAGTGATAGGCCCAGGGTTTGAATCCTGGAAAGGACGGGGTTGTTAACTGTCCATCCCTTCAAACGCGGCAACGGTGCCCGCTTATTAGGTGCTTCTGTTATGAAATGGCCACCACTTCTGACCCTTGTAGTGGTGCAAGGCTAATGGCTATTAAATAAAGCGCTCAACCATTAAAAAAAAAATGACCGACATAAGGTAATTAGGCTTTTTCCCTCTTACGCACAGGGAAATTTTTTTTTTTTTTTTTACAGAGACGGGAGGTAATTCTTCAAAGTGAAATTTTAAAGCTGTTATAATTTTATCCTTTTATGTCAGACAACACCGACAAGATTATTTTCAGTTGAAATGTAATGAATTTTTTTTTTAACACATACATATTACTATTATTCTTACTATGTATTTTTATAACATAGAATTATTATTTAAATATTAGTCCCGCTCCCTGTCAAAAAAAAAGGGGGGGAGATTTTCACTTTAATTTAAAAAATCTAATCTTTGCTTTCATGTCTCTCATTTAAAATTATTAAGAAATACACATATACATGTAAAATACTGCCATAAATAATGATGAATAAATTATCAGTTAAAACTAATAAACAATAATAACCAATTTAACATAAATAATTCTAAAACAAAATTTTCAAAAAAAATTTCATGAACAATAAAACTACATTTAAAAACTTACTTTCCATCCATTTGGTGCTGTTTTGAAGTATGGAAAATTCTCCCTAGAAGAGACAGAAATATTAGTATTAAACTATTAAGATGCGATTATAGGTTAGAACTATTAAGATGCGATTATAGGTTAGAATGAAACTTTTAAATTTCTGATGTTGAAACTTAGATAAATAGAAAAGCTTACAAAAACTACATCTGCTTTTACTAGTACTCTCTTGCATCGCTTTAAAAATGCTTTGGGGACAAAATATTACAATTAAAAAGTTGAACGTAAAAATGTCACATCATCTTATTTTATACTGAATTAAATAAATAAAAGACATTCTTTGCACATATTTCTAAAAAATTTTGCAAAATATTTTTGGCTCCTGCACAATGTGGATGTATATAACTTCACCTCAAAATCAACTGAATTTTCATTAACGTCTATACAATTTGAAAATTCCGCCTCCCCTCCCCCCCTAATTTTACATTTTTTCATTCATGCATTTCTATTCCATAATGATCAAGAATGCTTCACAGCACAATTTTTAAATTCATTTTTTAACAAAGACTTAAAAACAGAAGCTACTGTAAATAAATGAAATTTCATTTGCCTAATTTTTAATTTTTCACATATAGGTTCTTCATATCCCTTAAAAATATATAGAGTACAAAGTCCAAAATCCGGACTCGTCGGGTCTTCGGTGATTCTGAATTTGGGATTTTTGCGGATAATAGATCATCAGATTCAATAATAAACCTTTGAAACCGAATCTAACTGCGAGAGAAAGAGCTACAATGTGCGAAATTCATTCTAACCAGGATATTATCATTTCAAAGGCCGACAAAGGTGGCCAGATAGTCGTCATGGATAAGAACACTTACGTCGATGGTGTCACTAAACTCTTAAACGAAGGACCATATAATCCGATCCCTAACGATCCATCACCTTCGGACTTGTCAAAAATGAAAACTGCGATCAAATCTTCACAAATCATTTCAAGCAACTTAAAACATTCGCTTATCCCATCTGTTGCGAATTGTGCCAGATTATATGCTCTTCCCAAAATTCATAAAAGTGGTATTCCTTTCCACCTTACTGTATCAAATTTAGGTACTGCCTCGTATCCCTTAGCTAAATATTTAGTATCTAGATTTTCAACTCCATTAGAAAATAACATTTACACCATAAAAAATTCAATAGAGTTTGTAAAAAAGGTTAAAAACATCTCTCCTAGAAATTTACTCATGGTTTCTTTTGATGTAAAATCATTATTCACCTATGTTCCAGTGGAGGGTGCATTAAGATGTCTAGAAACCAGACTTCGCAAATTTCATTTCTCTTGCATCGAAATTGATGAGCTAATTTCTCTCACTCAACTCTGTTTGAAACAAACACATTTTGTTTTCCAAAATAAATATTACAAGCAAACTGAGGGATTAGCCATGGGAAGCCCCCTCAGTCCCATCCTGGCTGATATATACATGCATTATTATGAATAAAAATTGTTTGAAACTTTAAACTTCCCGGCATGGTTCCGCTACGTAGACGATACTTTTACCCTGTTTGAAGGTAATAAAGATGATTTAAATAAAGTTCTTTCAACAATGAATTCTATTGATCCTGCTATTCAGTTCACTTTTGAACTTGAGACTTGCAATTCTCTTCCGTTTCTCGACATTCTGGTCACACGTAACACATCCAACTTCAGAACTACGGTTTACCGTAAACCTTCATCGGTTTGCCTTCCACCACACTTTAAATCATGTCATCCGACTAAACAAAGCTTCATTTTATTCCTATGTTTTCTGTGCTCTTCAAGTTTGCTCCTCCAAACTAGCCCTTGATGAAGAACTAAATTATTTAAAAGCCATAGCTATTGACAGGGGCTTTTCACCCAACATTATTAATCAAGCAGTTAAAAAATTCTCATCTCAACACACTAAAAGGCACACTCTTGTTTTAGGAGATTATAAAAATTCTGTTGTCATTCCCTTCTTTCCATCAATTAGCTATAAAGTTGCACATATTTTGCAGAAATTTAACTTTCGGGTTGTTTATTCTCCCATCAATAAAATTCCGAGTTCCATACTCAAAGACCCCATTCCGGACATGAATTCCTTGCCAGTGTGGTTTAATTTACATTGGCCAAACTAAGAGAGCCTTAAAATTTCGCGTCAAGGAACATGAGGCATATGTTAGAAAAAAGGAAACACAGAAGTCTTCTGTTGCTCAACATTGTTGGTCTGAAAATCACACTTTCAATTTCTCTGCTGCCAAAATTATTCAAAAAACATCTTCCATTGGAGAACTGGATTTTCTAGAGGCATTTCACATTCATAAAAATCTTTCTGTTCTAGTTAACGATCCTAATTCCAATCTAAATTTGCCTTCGGCTTTTAAAGAAATTATGTTTTAGTTCTAGTTTCACCAACAGATGGTGCCACTTGCTTATTCTTGTCCAGGCTTTCTAATCTTATCTAATCATTATTTCCTGTTTCATTCATTTGTGGTTTTGCAGCTGAGGATTATGGGTTTGTAAAACCATCGAAACTAGTCCTGTGAAAATTTTGTAAATATAACGCTGATTTTTGTTGTTTGACTTCTGAATTAGTATTTGTTTGGCGTGTTATTGTGTCTTAATTATAGAAGCCCCAAACAGGCTTACTTTTTACTTTCTTTTTGCGCGTGGTGTGGCCGCCATTTTGTGATTGCAAGAGTTTCGGTAAGTACTTTTTTGCAATTTTCAAGCTAAGTTTATATTTGTATATTGTGCTTTTCTTGTATGATTTCGTGCATTTTGCTTACAAACCATTTTTGTATTCTAGTCATTTCAGTGAGGGATTTTTCTGCTGTTTTGTGTGTGCTTTATTATTGCTTAGTTAATTTAGTTTGATTTTCTGCATTGTTTATCATGCCCTCATCCGTTAATCGTTTCACTAAATTACGCCTGAAACGGCAACTCTGAATTAAGAAAAAATAAAATTTAAAAAAAAAAAAAAAAAAAAAAACAGTAACCTTGCTTTTAAAACTGAACTCTTATGTGCATGATTCCTAGAATCTGGCAAGCTCTGCTAAGGCTGGTTGTGCTAGTATTAGCACAACCAGTACCAAATACTGTAATCTTCAGTCTCATGATATTAATGGATATGGATTACATGTATAAACAAAACATACAGCCATACCACTTTGCACACTTTTGTTTTGGCATATTTTATTGATGCTAGTTTGGTTTTTGTCTTTATAACCACTGCTCAGGCTCATTGTCTTTTTTAACTGCAATGGGTTTTAGTATTTGGGTTTTGGACTATTTCACAGTAAATCAATGTTAAGCTTATCATTTCATTCATACCCAATCTAATGAGTGCTTATTAGGAAGTGCAAAACATCACAATTACTGATAAAGAAGTACTGCCCACTAACATTTATCTTATTTAATTGAATTTGTGTGGAACTGCAAAGAAGAAATGTTCTTTGTAATTCTAAATGCCATTTTTATATAGGCTAAGTCTAATACGACTTTTTTTAATGAAACATTTATTAATTACCTTTTTTATTTTAGTTTTGTATATTTAGTTATTTAACAAGGAATAAATATAACTATATTTTTTCTATATTTGTTTTATTTCATATTTCTCTCACTTTTTAAGAGGGTTTCAATGATGAAACCAATTGAAATCGGTATGGCTTTAATGGAAAAGTATCCAATTTTTAGTGCAAAAATTTATAATTTTAAATAATTAATCATCTTAACAGAACAAATGAAAATGCAACTAGCACAGAAAATACCTCTCTCACTTTCGAGTTTGGAATGCTTTTGACATTATCAATGTTTATTATAATTAAACTAATCATATTTTTTTTAATAAAGCCAAAAAATTCAACAAATTTATGCAACAGTTGGTAAATAAATTATATTTTCACATTTAAGCAATGTACAACGACACAAAATTAATCACTTAGTGAACACATTCCATAACTAGAACAACCACCAAACTTTATTTCCAATCTATGTATTTTTAACCAATATTGTAACTTCTGGTGCAAAAGCAAGATGGCACTTTCCCTTTTTCTTAAAACATCTAATAATTTCCATAAAATTACATGACAACTCAGTGTTCTTTTCTGTTAATGACACACAGTACAAAATCTCACTAGGGTACTGTTCTGTTATCAGGGCCGGATTCAGAAATATATGAACGTATATGTGTGCGTATATAATGTATATGCACATATGGTATACACATACATATATTCATGCTTACATATATACATGTACACATACACACAATTTCTGGATCCGGTCCTGATATACAACAGTACTTCTAACTAGATTTCAGCAATCCTAATGAAGCATAAAGCTTCAGGAAAAGCAGAGCTGTGCCTAGGTATATCTTCACCTGAGGCAGAAAGGTAAATTTGCACCCCTATATAAAGTTTAATTAGTTATATCTCTATGATTTTATATTCATAAAAGGTAATTATTTTAACTAATCCTTACAATATTTTTGTGGTCTTATTATAATTAGAAGAATGTTAGATAATTATTTAAAATTTTTATAAAGAACATTAAAATATGTGTTTCTGATAAATAGCAGGTAACACTGTAACAACATACATAACGTAAAAAATTTTATTATGGGTTCAAACACTTTTTTTTTAATATTTCAATTTTTCCCGCCTTTAACTAAGAAAAATCATGAGTACTTTTTTCAATTCTATTTTGGTGATTAATTCATATTCTATGCAGAGAATAGCCATGCAAAACGTGAAGATCTTATGAAGTTTGTTGAAGCTTCTCTTAACATGACTGGAGATTTCTCAGTCTTTTCTGTCGATATGTGTTTTGCGCTGGTATTCACCAAATAAAGGTTAATTCAACCTTAACCTTTATTTGGTGAAATTAGGGCGTTTATCAGAGTTGTACCCATTTATACACCATTCAATTAATGCTTTTTTCCCTTTCGTTCCAAATCGTACAGAAATTCAAATTAATCTTCCCACATTCATCCATTTTACCATGTAAACCACAAAATAACCAATATCCAACACACAAGCCCTTAAAAATCTTTTCCCATCATTCAAATTCACTGCAATCACTTAACCAATTATGCCATAATAGGGTTTCCATAACATTCAACTACTCAGGTTACCATAAATGAAATAACAACTTGGCGATAAATGGAACAACTTAACGATAATCTGAGGGGCACTCTTAAATAGACTCTAACCTTTACCTTTTCTCTGTATGAAATTTTGATGTGCAAATAGGATAAACATGTCATATGAAAGAGTGAGTATCATATTTGCAATAGTCTTAAGATCCATTTTTAATGTGCAAGAAAGAAATAACATTTTACTCCTTTCCTTGTTTATAGGTTATCAGGACAAACAATTCATACAAACATCAAATTTTTCCAGAGACAGCCATACCCTTCTCCTATGAAATGTGCACTTAGTAAATATATAAAGTGACCACACATCCCGACTTTGGCGGGACTGTCCTGCATGCCACCGATTTTTAAAGATGTCTCTCTTTTTAGAAAATATCTGCATTTCTTATTTTAAATGCACTGTAAAAATATATAACCTATTATTTATTATTATAGTGAATATAAAGAAATAAAAAATACATAAATATAAAAAACATATAAAAGGCATGCAGAGTAAACTAAATTGGGCGATGTAGCAAGTAAGATTTACTTGGTGGTGTTCGATCATTGTCTTTATCTCGTCAAAGAATATGTATTGTTAAGAAGGAAAGCTTCGCGAAAGCAACAGTGGCTTCATCACATTGCAGAGGTGAGCAGTTGCGCATGCGCGAAATAGCTGTCGAAGTAAATTCAACCTTAACCTTTTAACTGTCATGCCCGAGATAATCTCGGACACAGCACTGATGTTCAAAAATGTCACGCCCGAGTATTACTCGGGGTAATTTTTTTTAGTGCATCGTATTGTTATACCCGAATATATATCGGGAGACGTTTATTTCGGCTTCATCTTTTTGTCAAACCCGACTGTATCTCGGGAAAAGTTAATGTGCGATCAATTCAATAGATGACAGCACTTTACTGAAGATTTTAAAGGTTACAGGTTATAAGTTCTTTGGTTCAAAGTGCACGGGATCTTTTTGTTGTAAAATGGCGTCCAGTTCTTTGAAAAGTTATATAGATGATTTAGATTCTTCAATCGAAGATGAAGGATGTGTGTTTGATGAGCAGTATTCATGATACTTCCATGGTCAGCCTCTAAAATAAAAAAAATGGAAATATACTCAAGCCTAAGATTGTTTCTGACTACAGTCTAACTACGGGTGGTGTAGATTGATCACTGTGATCAGGAAATATCCTTTCATCCAACAATCCGAAAACGTCAGAAAAAATATTATAAAAAGATATTTTTACATTTACTAGACAAGGTACTCTGGAACTCATATTTGCTCTATAAAAATGTAGTAGGGAAATGTATTACATTTTTAGAATTTCGAATCCAAGTTGTAGAAGAGCTTTTACATAAATATGATAATGCAGCTTCTGGACAAAAGAATGTTGGCAGACCACCTACAATAGATAACCCTGCCCGTCTTACTGAACGACATTTTATATCCCATATTCCTCCTACTCCTGCGAAACATGAGCCTACAAGAAACAAGAAAGTGCAAAGTGTGTTGTTCGAAAAAGGATAAAAATGGAAAAAAGATAAGGAAGGAAACATGATTCTGGTGTAGTGATTGTGGAGTTGGTTTGTGCTTCGAAAAGTATTTCCAGTTGTACCACACAAGACTGAATTACTGAACTACTAACAGGTATTCACTTTTATTTATTTAATTTATTTTTTAGAAAATAATTTTTTTCATTTTTAGAAAATAATGCTCCACTAAAATTGAACTTTACAAATGCCACGTTGAGTGGCAGCCGCCTCAAGCAAATATGCAGTGGTTACAAAACTTAAAAAATTTTACCCATGTACTTCAAAATATCAATTTTTAACTACTTAAGTATATTTTATTTTGTACTAAATATTTGATTTTTGCAATAAAAAAAGTGACAATTTGTGTACCTAAATCATCAAAATAACTTGACAGTTAAAGGGTTAATACCATTTTGCGCATGTGCAGAATAGTTGTCGAACCAGTGTCGAAGGTCACGTTTGCAAAGAGTTTATACTTCTGTGACACTATCCCCCCCCCCGTCTGTATTGACGTAAATCAAATCCATGTTGGTTTCGTCTTAATGCAGATAAGTGTGGTTTGTTGTTTTCCATTTGATGTTAGACTCATTATTTGATTAACGAAGGAAGGGCAATAGTCGCCACATCTTAATAAGGTAAAATTTAGTACTCTTTTTTAGCCTTTGTAGTAAGCCTTTCTCGTATCACATTTTGATACGATTGTAACTATATTTCAATATCCTGCAAATTCTTAAATACACTCTAAATAATCAATTAGAAGTGAAAATTCTACTCACCAATTATTTTTGCTGTTTACTTTATAGAAAATATTTAGAGATGACAAAACTATATGAAGTGCCCAAAAATTTCATCAATTATGAAATTATCGGTAATTTTCATTATCAAAACTGTATGTATGTATATACACCTATCCATACATATGTAATTACAGTTTTCGCTTGAAAAAAAATTCCAGAATTGCACAAACTAGGCATTGTGCACTGCCTTAAACATGTCCATGTGCACATCAATCTATTTTCACTTAAATAAAATCAGGAAGCTAAAACAAAGTTGAAACTATCATGGTAACCAGAAGTGAGGTTTCACTGCCAAAATTTAAAAAAAAAAAAAAAAAAAAAAAAAAAATTGTTGCTAATCGAAGGGGCACCCAATTTTACTAATTACATACATTTCTAAATATGGTCCTGATAACAACAGAAAAATAACAAATTATCTATAGATTTTAAAACATTATACCAGTTAAATACACATATCATTGAAGATTTACTACACATTACCTCATATTAAAAACTAGGCTTTTCTGAAAATATTCCTTGACAATGATCTAAATAAAAATTTATATCACAAAATATATCAAACACTTAATTTAGTTTTTATGTTTTAAAATCCTTAATGATAATAAGTAACTCTTATTTACTATAATAAAAATCTATAACTAAATACATTACATAGTACTTACGTCATGAAGTCGTAAATTTCATTAACTGGTAAACTACCAGTTTTGCTGTTCTTCAGGGCCATTGCTATGAGGCAACTATAGGAATATGCTGGTTTTGGATATGCATTTTCAATATTAATTTGTTGGTTGGACTTTGCATTTTTGCCCTTAGATTTGGGTTTGGGGCTTTCACTACTTTCACGATTCAGCGATTCTCGGAGTCATGCACTAAGCTTCCCTGCTGTGCTTGTGATGAACCAGTATTGTGCGGGGTAGGGGACGGAGTTGGCACAGCAACAGTCAGGTTGACATGTGACTGCACATCAGCCATTTCAGTAACTAATGCATTTGTTGTTATAACTTGTAAAGGTAAAGTTACAGCAATGCTGCCAGAAGTAGAAAGAGATGTAGATTCATCCTTCCCAGATGCCGATGTGTCATGACAAGAATTAGTAACAGAAGATGGCGCAGATGTAGGCAGAATTAATGATTCAGACATTGACACTGGTAAAGCAGTTTGTGGATTAACTAGCAGTCCACTTATACTATCCAAATCAATACTTGAGTTTAAAAAATTTGATGAACTGTATGTCCATGTATTACAACCATTCGATAGATCAGAATCTAAGGCAGAGTCTAATGCATCTGCCATGGCAGATGTAGGTTCAGGAAAGCATGATATATCATTTGAGTATTCCCCTAGGCTCCTCATGTCAAGTTCGATCATTTCCTGAATCTTGAAGCTGTCAATATCCATGCTGTCCTGAAAATATATACATGTCACATTATTATATCCTCAAAAAATATATATCACATTATACTATTATTGAAACAGCTGCAAATTTCAAAAATAAATGGAATAAATCATTCAGGCATTTTCCGATATAGTTCTGTGAGCAAAACATAATTACAGCATTTTTTTAATGAACCTACAGATAGAATTTCATTGAATTAATTTTTGTAAAAAAATTTAAAGAATTAAGCCTTTCTTAATGGCATACAGATGAAGAATTTCATAACCAATTTTTGGAGAAAAATTTCAACTTTCTGAACAGCATGAAGCTTTAGACACGTTTATGAAATTTTCTGCTATTTTGCACAGTACAGTAAACTCCTGACTATCCGCAGACGGATTATCCGCACCTGCCGCACAAAGTGGTTTTTTTTTTTTTTTTTTTTTTTTTTTACAAGCGTAAAGCAAAGAAAATAAAAATGTTCACGAAACTGAGTGAAACGTTAAATTTGCTACCGTCGTGCTTATTATGGCTTATTATGGCAAACCTTCCTCTCTGATGAGCCTAATGATGAGTAAGTGATTTCTTACTCACCCATGCAGTGCCTGCTCCACCCCCCTCTATCGTCTTAATCTTACTGACACGTCCACTTCCTCTCACTCGCCATTGTTAGCTTAAGCCTGATAGTGTTTGCGAACTGGTCGGAGTTAATTATTGTGTTCAGTGCTTGTGCTTTTGTTACCGATTTAAAATGTCAAGAAGCCAAAGACAGCTGTGTTGACGATTGCACAAAAATTATAATTAATTTCCAAAGTAGCAAACAGCGCTACAAGGCAGCAGATGGAATTGGATTACGGAATCGCGGAAACAACAATGCGTGAGATTCTAAAGCAAAAAGACAAACTGGTGAACTTTTCATCAATGTCGGACAGTACTTCCGCAATGAAAACGCGAAAAACTATGAAGGGTTCTACCTTGGATGAGCTATACGGCACTGACAGAGTGGTTAGCTGAAGTTCGAAAAGAGGATACTCCTGTAAATGGTCCTATCATTGTGGCGAAGGCAAAAACCTTTTTTGAGTTGTTAGGCCTCAAAGGAAATTTTGATGCGTCTTTTGGCTGGTTGACTCGTTTAGTGCAGCAACATGGAATTCGAGAAATTGGACTTCATGGGGAGAAACTTAGTAGTGACCAACAAGCAGCCGACGATTTCCACCATGGATTTGAAGAATTTGTTTTAAAAGAAGAGCTATCTTTTGAACGAATTTACAATGCCGACGAATCGGGACTTTTGTGGAAATGTCTTCCCACTCGCACTTTAGCATTTGAAAATGAAAGTAAAGCGGCGGGTCATAAAAGCAGCAAGGAAAGGATCACTATCACGTCTTGCACTAATGCTACCGGTAGACATAAACTTAGACTTGTTGTCATTAGAAAGTAAAAAAAAAAAAAAAACGAGATCTTTCAAAGGCACAAGGATAGAAAATTTGCCCGTTGATTACTTTAACCAAAAAAATGGATGGATGACCGAAACATTTTTCAAGAATGGTTCGAAAAAATCTTTGTTCTTCAAGTGCGTAAACATCTTAAATAAAAAAACCTGCGCTATTGATCGACAACAAACCTTCTCGCCCAGCAACAAGCTTGCTTAAGTCTTCTGATGGACAAATTTTTGCAAAGTTTCTCCCCTCAAACATTACTGCGCTAATCCAACCCATGGACCAAGGAGTCATTGCAACAATGAAGAGAACATACCGAACCAAGCTGCTAATGACCAAAATTGAAGAAGTTATGATCTGAAAGAGTTTTGGAAGCACTACATAACCTTGGACAGCATCTACGATATTGCATCTGCATGGGACTCAGTTAAACCGTCAACCCTCATAATATCATGGAGAAAACTCATGCCTAATCTTGAAGCCAGCAACAACCTAACCCCTTTGAGTTATGAGGAAGAGAATGAAGATGTAGACACGCCTATGCCAACTCTTGCCGATATGGTGAAAACAGTTTGGGTTGTGAGAACGTCCATGCTGAAAACATTAACGAGTGGTTGGAGTGTGACATCAACGAACCTGGCTTCGAACACTTGACAGATGATGAAATTGTGAAGAAAGCAAGGGAAGAGACTGAGAATGAAGGAGAGCGAAAAAGAGCCCACTGTGCAGATACGGAAGACTCAAAAAGCGGCTTTGCAACAAGTCGACGAACTGCTGAGCTATTTGGGAGAACAAGACGACGTGGAGTTGGCCGAGAAACTTATGTTACGAAAAATGCAATCTTGGATCAAGAGAAAATGCTTCCAAAGCAAGAAGCAAACACAAATGACTGATTTCTTCAGAAAGGTATAGTTTTACAATTATGCTTTTGTAATTACATAATACATTACAGTATCAAAACAGTACATATATACAGTCAAAAGTTGTTAATTTGGACACCCATAATCTGGACCTCAAAGCTAAAAACTTTCTGCGCATGCGCAGCGTTGACACATCCGCATAGGCGTTTACGAGTGCACGTAAGACCTTTACGACTGCGCATATGTGTGTGTGCAAGCGCAGAATAGGTTTTCGCGTGCGCGTTTAATGTATAACGGACGGTATAGCTAAAATTATCTAATTATCTATTTCACTTAATTCTGATGATTGCGTTGTTCCTTAATCTTCGAATTGGATGCGCCTTATAATTTTTTGCAGACTGTAAGAGCAATTTTATAAAAGTAAACTTGAACTTTCGATTATGTCAAATAGAATTTCCGATGCTGGAGCTCCCAAAGGATCTTCAAAACGAAAGTATGTTTCGATGTCCGTCAAACAAAAAGTGGAATTGCTGCAAAAAATGGATAAAAACATGAAGAATGTGACAGAGAGGTAGTGAAAACGAAAAAATTTCGATTGACAAGTTAGTCGGTATTCTCGGCACAGCAATTACGGGACTTGAACAGCAGAACTTTGTAACTGAACAAGAAATTATGTCTGTTTATAGAATTAAAGAGAAAGTATTATCACATAAAACGAAGCAACTTAACTTACATTGAAAGAAATGTTTAATAAAGTAAACAAATAAATATTAAGCTTTCTTTTGTAAATTTTGATACCCTTTAGATCATAATTGTTCTTTATTTCATAAATTACGGTTTCCTATTTTTAATTTTAGAATTTCTGCATGCCATCTTACAAGATTTAAACTGATGATTTATAATCCGGAATCGTCAAAGTCCCGACGAGTCCGGATTAATGACTTTTGACTGTATTAATTTTTTTGTGTATCCTTGACACCTCTCGTAAGTACAAAGCACTTTTCTGTTTTCATTAACAAAATGCATTTTAGGTTAGTTTTGAGTGATATACTAAAATAATAAGCGTTAGTTAAACATTTCCTTCTGTTTATTTCACGTTTTATTGAACATAAAACGATTTTTCAAAGTTGGAATGACTGTTTTCTCTTTTGCTATACCCATTTTTAGCATTTTTCGGATTATCCGCGTTTTTTGTTATCTGCGGCAGCCGCGCCACCCAATTCCGTGGATAATCGGGAATGTACCGTACAATGATCCAGACTCGTCGGAACTTCAGTTTAAATAATTTGGTTTTAATCATCAGTTTAAATCAAGTAAGATGACATACAGAAATTATAAGATTAAAATACTAAAATAATGAAGCATTTAGAACCTTAAGAGAATCGAAATTTACAATATTGCTATTAAGTCAATATTGCTTTAATTTATTCAAGTTGTTAATACTTTCTCTTTAATTCTATATATAGACATAATTTTTTGTTCAGTTACAAAGTTCTGTTGCTTAAGCATAGACTCCAACCTTCAGCAAACCTTGTCAGTAGTCAATGCGCGAACGACATTTTTACAACTTTGAAAATGTGTGCGTAGCGTATGTTGTAATTAACCATTCATTAATTTTAAATTAATAATTAATTGTAATCAATTTTATTACATTTAAAATCCATATACATATAAAACTGAATAATTAAAAATATACCTTGTAAATTATATGCACATTTAATTAGAAATTTTCTTTTAACTCTTCAAGCATTCACTAATAAAAAGTACTTCAAATCACTACTAATCATAGAAAAAATCAGAAGCTATAAATCATATCTTTATTCTGGATATGATTTCTACAGGGAAATAAAATTTAAATAACCAAGAATGATACATATAAGTATTAAACAAAATACGCATAATTTATGAATGCAAAGATTTATATGTAGCATGCTTAGCAAGCTTAAGTTCTGATTTTGAGAATGTTTTTTTTTATAACACAGTTCTTCATTTGCCTGCATATTTATTTTTTCAATCAAAACTGCTTCAAGAGTTTTAAGACCTAAATTTGGTCGAAATTCCGTCTGATTTTTTTTAACAATAGAAAAAAATTCTTTCGCAAGCTGCATTTGAATGAGGTATTATTAAGACAGCAAGCATTACAGAAGGCAATACTTTGTATTTAATACACCCATTCATATTTTTTAATTTGGCAATTTCTCCCCATGCTATATCAATACGCAAATCTACAATTTCTTTCAAATCATCTACTTGATACATGGAAAATTCAATTTCTACTTGATTAAGACATTTTTCATCAATAATGGATGGAAAAGTATTCATCAAGTAAAGAACAGATGAAAATGAGACTTCAGTTCTCAAGTTGATGTCAGCAACTTCAGCATGTTTTAGAAATGGATCACTCAGTGGAAATTTATCAATTATATATGAACATGCAGTTACAAAAAAAGCTCGCACAGAATTGAAAAATGATTTCACTTCACTTTCATTCAACTTGGCATTTTTTAAATATAGTCTTGTTTCTGCACCAATCACTAAATTTTCATTTTCTTTTTGTTTACTATACTTCTGAAATGGAATAGACGTTAGAGTAACATCTTCATTTTCTTTAGAAATTACTGATGGTTTTACGAATCTAACAAATAAATTCATTAAAAGTTCAAAAAGTTCTCTTCTCAATTTATGTATATAAGGAGCTTGTTGTTGTAAATTAATATTTACTGCT